ATGAGATTGATAATTCCGCGATATACCGTAGACTATTATTCATCGAAACACAACCGCGCATCGATGGTGCCGCGGTGATCCAATTTGCAGTCGGCTGCTGCTGCAATTATCAGCAAATATTGGGTACTCACGATCCTACTCAATTCTCGACATATTCCCCGTATCAGATTTCCGGACAACAGGCTTCTCCCATGCGTGCAATTCGATTCCTTCGACATTGGTAAAAAGCGTTCGCACGTGTTCTCTCTCTCTCTCTCTCTCTCTCTCTCTCTCTCGATTCCCCACCTCTCTCCGGGCAGAAATAATCAAAAAGAGGCGCGTGCGAATTGTAATTGAATAACGCAGCGGAAAACGCTCTAAGAGAAAATATCAATTTCGCAACGGACTCGTGCGTAAACTCAAGCGAATGGATCATCAAACTCATGCTTCAACATTGGACGATTCCATGCATTTTAAATCCATGAGAGAAATTCCAGTCGCTTTGTTTGCCGCGACGTAATTACATCGGCGTGATTGTGTGCGCGTAGGAACAAATATTCCAGTACTTCGCAGTCCTCTTCGCGGATTCCCTCTCCGCTCGAAGGGGGGGAGAGAGAGAGAGAGAGAGAGAGAGAGAGAGAGAGAGAGAGAGAGAGAGAGAGAATACGCCGGCTTACATCGCCGGTAAAATATTCGAATCGGATCATCACCGTGATTGCCGCGGGCGGAATATTCGTATACGCTCGGTACGTAAATTATAAGCGCCGCGCGCGCTTGGTGAACGGAATATACACACAGTTCGATTGTGAATTTACGATTCTTCCCAATAATAATCCCTCGCTTTGCGCTTGCCGATATGATCGACGCGCAAACCTTTAATCTCGCGGTTTGACGACGCGAGCGAAACGGCGAGCGAAAGGCGGATCGCAGTATTGGAAAACGCTCGTCGAGAGCGAGAAAGAAAGAGAGCTCAGATGGCAATGAACGGGTGTGCATGAGGGAACGATAATTTGACGAAAGGATAAACTGTCTCGTTGCGACGACGGCGACTCGCGATTGTGAATAACTCGTCGCGCATTATCCGTCGGGGGTTGTAAATTCAAGCCGCGCGCATCGCGGTTTACGGTCTACCCTGATGAAGGCAAAGCCTCTTTCGATTATGAACACTCCGTTACATTATCCTCGCCGGCGATATTAATGCCGTATACGTTAGTCTCGTCTGTACGGCCGAAATTATTTTCGCGGTCAAGCTCGAGTGTGCATCGCACACGGGTAACGAGTTGACGGGCAACAAAGTGTGGCTTTCATTATGCTTCGTGCGTATATTCGTTTATCGCGGTTAAACCGTAACTGGGGAAAAAAACGTCCCTCCATCTGGACGATCCTGCCGGCCTCTCGCGCTTGCGACAGATTTACTCCATAACGTCGCTTAATGTCACCGATGAAACTTTTAATAGGACGAGTTAACAACGTCAATTCCAGCGTGGTATCGGCTTCATCCGTTTATCCGAGCGGTAGACCCCTCGGAGAGGCGCCGCGCGGGATGAGCCAGCTCCTGTGTGAAAAACGGATCCTGCCGGTTCTACGCCGCGTCGCGCGCGCGTATCGGAAAATATTCTTTTTTTTCTTTTCCAATTTGCTCGGCCGCCGAAAGTTCGCGCTGCTGCTTTTTCCCCGGATAAATCGCGCGCGTGGACAAGCGTCGTTTACAAACGTTGCTACATCGACACTGCGCGGAGAAGGCGGGATTTTTCCGCGAGGTCCGGGAGGGGGGATGCCCCCTGCTCAAAAAGCTCACGGCTAATGGAATCACCGTCTGCGCTCTCGTTACGTTCCGTGCACACGCTCGCAGGCGGCGGAGATCGCGGAATAAAATTTAATCCGCGCGATACGGCCGCGTACTTCCGACGTGCGGACGTGCGGAAGGACCGCAAGTTATCGAACGGATTTAACACGGAGCGACGGCCGCTTCGAACACAAATATTGCGCGCTTGCCTTGTACCATTACACACACATCGCTCCATCGATCCCGCTCAGCATCGCGTTCCGCACGCTCGACGTGCGGCGCACGGAAAATGTTTTCAACCCCGTTGCAGGGTTGCAGGGTTGCAGGGTTGCAGGGTGCGATAGCAGCGGTGGCGGTGGCGCGGCGGATGGGCGAGCTGATCAAAAGGGCGTATCGACGTAGCGCGTGAACGCGACGAAATAACGGAACCTTCGTCCTTGCTCGCGTACAGTGGAGGAGAAAGGAGGGAAGGCAGATGTTACTGTATCAATTATCGGAAAGCTTCCGTCAAAGTGACCGCACAGCCGGGGCCAGATACGTCGGCTTATCCTTTTCATCGCCGCGAAAGCAGTTATCCCGAGGCGGAGCGAAGGACTCCCTTCGTATAACTGGCCTTTTCTACGGCTCTCGTTGCGCGCCACGATAAAATCACTCCCCGCTGCAAGAACTTTCGCTTTATACGCGGTGAATCTCCTTCGCGAACGCTCCCTCTATAACTCTCAGTACGTACGCACGCTGAGGAATGCATTATTTTCACAGAGAAATATTTCGTATCTCTTGTTAACGGCGGCGGCGAATTCCACGACAACTTTGTTCGCCGACGGCTCCAATTACAAGGAGCTACGTCCCTCGCCCCTCCCCCGACCGGCGCGGGCGTTGCGTGATGAGAAACATTGACCCGCTTCGAAACTCTAACGAAGTTAAAACTGAATGCAACGCGAAAGCAACGTCACTCTCTCTCTGCCTCTCTCTCTCTCTCTCTCTCTCTCTCTCTCTCTCGGCAAGAGAGCAGGGAAAAGGGCGGCGACGGAAAGAGAGGGAGAGAGTGAGACAGGTATATGAAGTAGGACGAGAAATTGAATTAAGCAGTGCATGTTGATTAAAAACCGCGGAATAATGCACGCTTTGCGGCGATTTTCCGTCGTCGCGTCGCTCCAGCGCGCAAATTCCAGCTACTCCCTCGGACTCTCGCCGAGGCTCTCTCGTTTTGCGCAAATTCGGACTAATATCCGCGTATAGACACCCGATCCCGGACCATTAATAATGCATGAGACAAGAAAAGTCGCGACGTGCTGAATATACATGGACCGCGGCGCGATATTGAGTGTTCGGCCGGCGCGCGGCGCGGTTTTCCGGACACGACGGCGCGGCGAGATCCCTTTCGACGACTCAGTGATTAAATCCATCGCACGTCCCGAAATTCCGCGACTCTGCCGACGACGGGAGAGAAATTATCGACGAAATCTTGGCAGCGCCGGGCTCTTCGCGGAGACATCCGGTGACATTCGAGCTTTCTATTTCGGTTGGCGAGCAGCCCGCCCCGGGGACTACCGGGGACTTTGCTCATGGCTATATGTCCGCATATTGAGTCTTCGAACACTATAATTAGAAGCAGCGTTCGAACGGTATTTGAACGCAAACTCGCGAGAGATATTATACTCCGCGCGGTCTGAAGACGCGCACCTTCTCTAGACGGTCTTTATGTCTCGCAAGGCTGCGAGGCATGCTTGAGAATTAATGGACGCGACACTACGCCGCTATACGCGCACGTTGCACCTTGGAAGTTTACAGGCCGTCTCCTTATCGGGAGACAGACGAGAGCTCAGAGCCCCAGCGATAAGCCGGGAAATGAAATTTAACGGCGGCGCGACGCGTCGGACAGGTACTATCGATCGGATTTTTCATTCGCGGCTATAAGCATTCCGCGTTAAAACATTTATCGGAATCGATTATGCATATGTGTAACACATGACGACGGTCGAGATGTACGGAGGACGCTGCGCACCGCTACACAGCGCCTTCGTTAATGCTAATGCTGAACAATGTCTAGTGTCTACTCCTGCGTCATTGACTCAGATACCAGATGTGCACGTGTACTTCATCGTGCATGCGTTACCGCCAGCTTCAAAGGGCCACCATGTTTATGCGCGATGATGCGGCTGCAGCGACGCGTCCTTCGGTCATGTTTCGCTCTTCCGAGAAATTGACGCGATGTCGCTTCCGGCAAGCTGATAGCCCGAACGGGAGAAATTGAAATCATAACAATATCAGAAATCGCGATCAACCATCCGCGCGTATATCAGTCAGACGTCTGATTTTGCGCGAGCAAATCAGATCAGGTTTGATTTCAAGCGTTCAGAAGCGAGTCTCTTCTCCTGACAGTCGAGAGAGCAAGGCGACTATATTCTCTGACATTTGTTCGCAAGATGATGCGACATGTGTGACTTGTCACGTCTGGCGTACTTATGTGCAGCCAAGGTTCGTCCGGCGCATAAAGCTGCAGGAGAAACGCTGGAGAAACTTGAAATATATTCTGATGTATTATTTATCTTTCGCTCTGTCTCTCCTTCTCTCTCTCTCTCTCTCTCTCTCTCTCTCTCTCTCTCTCTCTCTCTCGGAAGCGGCATCGCCCGTTCGCGTTTACCTAAGAATAACGATCCTCCTTCGGAGAATCGACGGAGCACGCTATCGAAATGCAGGATAGGAGGGAAGACCCTCTCCTGGGACTTCAATTCGCTTCGTTTTGATCTGATTTCGTTTGAACTCCCGCTGAAAATAAACAACTCCAAACAGTCGAGCCATTCCATTAGCTGTGACTGGCTTTGAAGCCGAAATCAAATGTGAGAGTAAATGATCGAGATATCGCGCTTGATCCAGATGCATTCGGGAAAGGTGGCAAAGCAAAAGCGCCAAGGAATTGGCAAGCGCGCGTCCACTCGTCGCGTTTGATATGATTTCGAAGACAAATCGTTGAAAACAATCGGTGGATAACGCGCGCGCGCGCGCGCGCTTACCTAGGCTCGATTTGTTAAAAAATCGACACTCGTACACGTGTGTGGTGAATGTGAAGCAATTATCGGCACAGGTGCTCGTATTTCTCGCGATCCCACGAGAGGGAATCCCCGTAAATTCCCGTTGAGTCGCTTTCAATCTTGCGCGCGTGCTAATCGTATGCATACACATATATATCGTAGAAATATCGTATAACAACGGAAATTGCTGTTGCGCGTTGCAGGAAACATGGTGCAGACGATGGTGGCACATCTCTCAAAGGAGCCTCTCCCTATCGGCCAGTTCCTACTCGCCGACGTTAAATCCGTTTCTGATGAAGCAACTGAAAGAGCCTAAAGCCACGGAAAAGACAGCAAAGAATACCGTGAAGGCCACGTCGGCGGAAAACCTGGCGGAATCAGCCGGTGAGTCGACGCAGGAACTCTTCCATTCTAAAAAATGCAAAGCTACGGCGAAAGGAGCGAGCAGGATGCATACACGTGTATATATATATATATATATATATATTACATCATATTTATTACACATTTGGTACACATTCACAAATTACATCGGTCACGTTCGCGTGCGCTTCGTGAATCCTTCGTGCATCACATGTGACTCAGCTACGCTGAGAATCCTCCATACCGTGACTTCGTAAAACTCACGCTTTATCGATCGGCTTATCACCCGCTCTGAAATATGACTCGCATGGATTTTATCCATCTGCAACGGACTTAATCGAGATTAATGGTACTTAATGTGCCCAAAATTAAGTTATCCGGATTATCAACGTCTTCTCGCCGATACTCGCCTTTGCCGCGCGCGCGTGCAAGGGAGAGAGAGAGAGAGAGAGAGAGAGAGAGGGAGGGAGAGAAAACTCCATATCTCGAAAAACAAACCCTCCCGTGTTCGCGGTTTGACGGTAAATAATTTTTTCATCGCTGAATACGCCGCTCGTGCGTGTGAACGCACGATCGTCGTATGCTGCAGTGACGTCTCGATAAATCTTGCGATGTCTGTATGTGCGTACATTAGTGTGATTCATTATTAAGGTATCAATTACGTCATCTCCTTTGGCAATCCTCGGCTGTCCGATCGTTCGTCGAAGAAATAAATATATCAATTGGAGGGGCCGTTCTCTCAGGATGTTTGCGCGTATTCGTTCTGGCCCAGCTCGATCCCATTGAGGCTATCCTCGAGGACCTCAAACTCCTCGAACTCCATCTTGCCGAAATCATTGCCGGGCTTCCAGTCGCTGGTATTCACTTCCCATCTCGTGAGCGCGCTCGCTGCGAATCTGCTCGGATAATTGGATCTCGACTCGTCGTCCAAGTTGCCGAGCTTAAAGTCCGCCTTGAAAGTCCTCAGCTCCTTCGGGTCTTCTTTCTTCGGCTCCAGTCCAATCACCACCGGCGGCTCCCGCTTCACCTGCTCGGTCTGGCCGATCCCCTCGTTCCGCCGTTCCTCCTCGTCGTCCTGTTGCTGCCGTTCGATCGTTGTGATCTCGATGCTCGGCGTCTCCACGATCGTGCATTGGCGGAGATCGCCGGTGCCGCGGTCGCGGTCACGACGCGGCGGCAACGACCTGCCCTCCACGAATCTGCCGGTCAACTCGAGCCTGCTGTCGCACGAGTTGCTCTTCACCAGCTTGAACTTCACGTAGTCGCTCGAGCGGTCGGTCCGCTTGAAGCCGTTGCCGATCAGCGGCGAGATGAGCGGCCCGTTGTGCGTATTCACCACCTTGCCGCCGTAGTACGTCACCGAGGTGCCGCACTCGCGGATCTTCCTCAGCACGTCCTGCGACACGTAGTGACCCGGGCCGCTCGTGTCCGCGCCGTCGTCCTCGTGGCAGTTGACGTCCTCGTCGTCGGAGGACGTGCAGTGAGCCGCGCTGCCGCCGTCGGTATCGGGATAATCGCTCGACACCCCGGAACTCACGCTACCAGAGTCCCAGTTCTGATGATGATGATGATGATGATGGTGGTGATGATGATGATGATGGTGGTAACGACCGACCTTGTTCTTGGAGCAGTTAGAGCAGTCGCTCGGTGACGTGTTGCCGCTTCTGGCCTCGAAGCTCTGCGCGAGAATCCTCGTCTTCGACTCCCCTCGCGGGCTGCCGGACTCCTCCTTGCTGATGGAGGCGCTCGACGACGTGGACTTGGTCTCGAAGAGTCTCGTGAGATCCTTCGCCCTGCTGGAGCACCTGGATCTGGACATAACGCGTGCTTTCGCTCAAACTCGCTCAAAACGGGAAGGGGAACATCGTGTGGCTTACATCGGCGGTCTCGACAAGCGCAAGCAAATGCTTCGTTTTCGCTCGGTACTTCGCTCGGTAACTTTAATGCGCCCCCGGATACGTTATTATTCTCTCAGTCGCGCGTAATCGAATTCGCGGACTTCTCAATGCACGGCAGTGCCGACGGAAACTCTGCGGCAATTTGTAATTCCATTAAAATCGAGACTCTTCCGGAGCGCCGTTGCTGCGCGTTGCGTTCGCCCACGACGACGGCGATTAGGCCTGAGAGCAGCACGCTCGTCGCCGCTTGTCGTCGTCGTCGTCGTCGAAACGCTCGCCCATGTCCACGCAGTGGACCAATAATAAAAGCCGCACCATCGACGACTGCGACGACGACGACGTCGACGTGACGGCTCGATATCTCACATACGCTACCTGGATTCCTCGCGCGCCTTGTCGGACATATCGTCGTATCGGCCGTCGTCGATGCTCGTCAGATCCTTCATGCTGAGGCACCTCCTGCTCTTGCAGTCTCTCGAGAATTCCGCGTCGGACGTGCTCTTCTTCTTCAGGGTGTTCTCGAACATGCGTCTCACGTTTCGCACGGTATCCGGGTCCGGCAGTTCTTCATCGATCAGCTCGCGATTCACCCTGATCGGGTGGTAGAAGAAGTGCTTCCTGATGACCGACTTGTTGGGACTTTTAACAGCGCCGTCGCCGGCCGCTCGTTCGCCGCTCCTCTCGGCTTTCTTCTGGATCGCGCCGGCGATCTTGCAGGACGACGGCTCGGTTCTGGCCAACGGCGACGACGACGACTTACGCTCCACCGGCTCGGCGCGCACCGGCTCGATGATTACGACGTTGTTGTCCATCAGCAGCTCTTGGAACGAGTACTCGCGCAGGTACTGCATCAGCCCGTCGTAGGTGACGTCGCCGCGGCCGGTGTTGAACATGTTCTTGCTGAACATGTGCGACTTGACGATCTTGTAGCGCACGTGATCGAACTCCGGTCCGTCGTCCTGGCACTCTATCGAGTCCACGCAGCTCCTCGACCTGGTGAGATTGGTGTGCGGCTTTTTGCCGTCGCCCATGCTGGCCATGTCGGCCGGCGCGCTGGAACTGTCTCCCGCGTTCCTGGCCGACCGATCGTCCTCGGCGGCGCCATCGTCCATCGATCTCCTGCGAGAGTCACTGCCAGACTCGGAGCCGAGGCCGAGGTCGGAACTCTCTGACCTCGCCTCGAAACCCAGGCTCCCCTTTACGACGCTGCACGCCTTGCCAAGGATATTGGACGTCTCCTTTACTATCCTCTCGAATCTACCCTCGTTCTGCTTATTCCGCTCCGTCTCCCTCTCCGTGGTTTTCCGCTCGAAAAAACTCCTCGCGTCCTCCGGCGTCGTCACCTCGGCCGCATTTCCCGCCGTCGCGGCGTTCTGCGAAATTAGTAGTCGCTGTGTTTCGGCTTAATACGCCCCGTAATCCCGCCTCTCTCGGCTGTGAAAGTGTTTTGCCGTCCGCGGCAACGACGGAAAACAGTAGGAAAAAACGCTAAATCGACAATTGGCAGCGCGACGCACGAGCGATGCAGCCACGAGCCGGCGTGTCTAAATTGCACGGCGAGAAGCGAGACAGTGTAAATTATTTAATCGCACGCGTGTGCGAGTTCGGCGCGAGAGAGAGAGAGAGAGAGAGAGAGAGAGAGAGAGAGAGAGAGAGAGATTGAGAAGTTAAAGTTGCAACGCACGACGCTGCGACGAGAACATTCAGCATTACACGGCGCTCGTGCGGGGAATTCGAAATCGACCGTTTCAGCTGTGAAAGCAGCTTCCCAATCTCGAAAACAACCCTCCGCGAGAATATCGTTCATGTCTCCTTAGCCGCGGCGAGGCTGCGCTTTTGTAATTGTCACTAGCGCGGAGGGATCGCGAGAAGAAGAAGAAAAAGAAGCAACGCCGCGAGCAATGTCTAGAAATGAAGAAGCTTGCGAGAAAAGCCGTTTTTAGTCTAGTTTTTTGGGAAAGCTCACCTCCGCATTTTTCCCGTGAATGTTGCCCGTCTTGCTCAACGTGGAGACGTCGACGCGCTCGTTCGCGCCCTTTGTCCGCTCCAGCTCCTGCGGCTGCTTGTACTTTGGCACGTCCTCGACGACGGCATCGATCTCCACGACCGAGCGCCGATGTCGCCTCTTGGTGACGTCGTTGTCGACGACCTTGAGAATCTGCGGTCTTCTCGACATCTCGTCGTGCTCCTCGCTGTCCGAGATCCAAATCGACTTGTAGTCCTCTACCTCCTCGAGCTTGCGATCCTCCTCGCACGGAGGACTTATAAGACTCTCGACATCGGCTTTGTATCGCTCCCGCTTGAACTTGGACGAGGACGACGACGTGGAAGAGGATGAGGAGGGAGCGCGCTGATCCGCGAACTTGTTTGCCGAGTTAATATCCGAGTCTTCGTTCAGATCGTTCAGACCGAAACTTCCTTCAGATTCGCGACGGTGTCCCGCCGCTGAGTCGAGGTCCTCGTGAATCTTCCGCCCGGGATCGTCGCCCTCGCCCTCGCCCTCGCCCTCGCTCTCGCCGTCGTCGTCGTCGTCGTCGTCGTCGGCTCGCGCGGCGGTATTGCTTTTTTTGACGGCGCTCTTCTCTTCGTCCGCGACGCTCGTGGAGGGCGAATCCTGCTCGGCGCTGCTCGGCTCGCGGTACTCGAGGACTCTCAAGTCTCGCGAGTCCCGCCGCTCGAAATTACCGTCCGCCGAGTCGTCCTCGTCGTATTCCAGCCGCACGTTGGAGAGCGGCAGTAAATTCAGCACGTCGAAGTACTCCAGCTCGCCGTCATCCTCGAAGAGGATGCTGTCTAAACTGCGGTGCTCCTTGCGCTTGCGCTTCACCTAAGCGAGAGGGTGATTTCCTCTGTAAGAGCGTTCTCCGGTCTGGATTTTTATCGAGGCAACTGGTCTTTTCATTTCCGCCGAGCGCGCGAGAAATGCTCCCGCGCATAATAATTCATGCGATGACATTCGGGATCGTCGATTTTTTAAGTGCCGCCACTCTCAAGAGCCACTTTTTACATCGTCGAAGGCTGACTCCGCGCGAACGAACCGAATATTAATGCACGCCGCGATCTCTCAATGCGACTCAACAATTCTTTTCGAAAAAAAATTCGTCCCGTGACGAATATAATCGTGATTGATAGTCGGACTCTCGGTTTCGAGTCCCCGCCACTCATAGAGTGATGTTGTCTCACTGCAGAAATGACAGAGAATGAATCCGCGTCTGTTGTCAGTTGAATTCTAATTACGCCGAGGCTAAAGATAACAACGATATTGGCGAACTTGCTGGCTGAAGCATAGCGATCCCTATCGTTTTAATTAACGTCGGCAACAAACTTCTTAATCTCGCCGCTGCATCGGCGAGACGTTTGAGGCGCAGGCATGGACCTCAAAAGCGATACATCACTGCGCCGAGTGAGGTTTAATCAAATTAACAATTACGCTCGGGAATTTCCCTTTATATAGCGCGATTCTCACTTGACACGTCGCTCCGTCGTGGACCGAGTTTCCTCGTGATTCTAAAGCAAGTCACTGTGGACTCTGATCGTGTAATCGAGGGCAGAGCGAATAATCATCGACGATCTTCGTCCTCGAGGACGAGAGATGTGCGATTTCCTCTTGCCGAGTCGCGATGCGATATGCGACTGAATTTTCATCGTATTTGCAGAAGCAAAAATGCACTTGAAAATTACTTAAAAAATATGTTATCGAAAATCGAGCGATATAGTACTTATAAATTACGATGCGATGCAGAAAGAACCTCCGCAAAAGGGTCGATTTTTTGCCCGTTTTTCGGTCCTCGATTTTGGAATCGGATTTTATGCCAAAAGATAGTTCACGATGAGACATTAATTACAGAAAAGTCGAGCATACGATTCGTTTCAAAGATGTCAAAGAGGGTCAAAGTGGTCACTACCTACTAAGAAAGTATGACACTAATAACGCTTTATCGCACGAATTTTTGCAAAACTCGGTATCTATGGGTTCTTTGAGTTGCTGATTATGAATCCGGTGTCAGATTTTAAAAATTCAAAATGGCAGGTGCAACATGGCGAACACACATAGTGAAACAATTATTTCTTCTTTTATTAGAACTGTTATGTTGTGGTTTTTTTTGGTTAGCTGATTGCGAATTTTCTATTAGGTTTTCCAAAGTAATTTTTTCAACGACAATTTTTGAGTGGAGTGGAAGTATTTTTTTTTTTATTGTTTTTTCATAAAAAAATATCAAATTCAAATTGATGTGTTACATGACGCATAATAAAGGATAACGTGATAGTTTTATTTTGTAGTGAATTATGGGTTAAGTAGAGCATAAGTAAAGTTCATAAGATGTATAATTCTAGACACAAACGTAAGTCTTTATTCGAGCGGTGGATATGGATACATCGGGAGTTGCGCGGACCGACCGTAAACCTGGCTTCGACCAGGACGAGCTGCTTATTCTTCGAGAGCTGAATTCGAACTGTCCCGGCTGCGAGTCTTTCGAGCTCGCCAGGGCTTTCCCAGGGCTCGTTATCAGAGCTTAAAAAAGATCCGCCATCTAGATAAAGTGGCTGTCGGTATCTCTGAATTTGTTATATTTAGAAGCTTATCTCGCCTTCATTAGCTGGATAACTTTTTCATCTTGCCTTCACTGGATGGATAACATTTTTATCTGGCCTTTCTTGGCTGGATAACTTTTTCATCTTGCCTACATCGAAGGTAAATGTAAATCTGATAGAAAATTCGCAATCAACTAGCCGAAACAACCACAACATAACAGTTCTAATAAAAGTAAATAATTATTTCACTATCTGTGTCCGCTATATTACATCCGCCATCTTGAATTTTTTTAAATCTGACATCGAATTCGTAATGAGCGACACAAAGAACCCATAGATACCACCAAATTTCGCAAAAATTCATGCGATGAAACGTTATTAGTGTCAAACTTCCTTAGTAGGTAGTGACCACTTTGATCCTCTGTATCTCTGAAACCAATCGTATGCTCAATGTAAAACTTTTATATGATTAATGTCTTACCATGAGCTATTATTTCGCATAAAATTTAATTTAAAAATCAGGGACTGAAAAACGAGCACTTTTTGCGGAAGTTCTTTATAAATCGCGCATCCCTGACGGAGGAGAAGAGATTTCACCTGCGTGTATATGCAATCGATGCTGCGATTGCCTTCGATGGGCCAATTGTCCTCGACGATGTCGACCAGGCCGCTCACGGTGTCCAAGTTTTGCACACTGCGATACCGCCTCGGCGGATCCGGCCAGTCGAGGATGTTCAACCTGTCGGGATCAGCGCGACTCCCTCGGCTGCAGGGCAGCGGATCTGGAAGAGACACGAGACCCGACGGGATCGAGTGAAGGCCGCACGTCGATCGCGAGTGGTAGGACCTCGCCTCGTTGAACCTCTCGTAAGAGTCCGTGAGGTGCTGCTGACTCTTGGAGAGTCTGGAATGAGGTGCGAAGTCTCTTTTGACTGATCGCTCACGTGGAGTAAAGCTTGCGCTCGTGGCTGCTTTAGACCACGACAAGGATGGAGGGGTATCATCTGCAAGTCCAACAAGTCCCATAATTCGCGTCAACTCATCGGGTCAACGTGTTACACGGTGATATCGAGCGACTAGAGGAAGCGATTAAAGGCTGCGACTGTTGATCGCGAAGGAGCGAGCGACTGGAAAATCACTTGTGAACGATCACGCGATCAATCTACCTCGCGTGAAAAAGACTCTCTCACTTTGTGCACTCGGTATCAATTATTCGAAGAGTAACCGCTCTCCAAAGACGACCCGTTCTGCACCGCGACGAGAGACCGCTGGATCAATTTCGTTGAAAGCACGTTATTTTTATTTCTCACGGTGACGTGAAATTCTTCCCGCCGTCTCTCGGGCTTATTTCATCGCGAGGTCCAGGCCGTTACTTTGATGTTCCACGAGTGTCTCGCGAAAGCCGATCTGGAATACAGCGGTCGCTTTTCCTTTATTCTTTTGTCGACGGTGGTCGTGTATCGAATTAGATTGCTTCCGAATAGGAGGACAAACAGATGACAAAAACGGCAAACTTGTCTCGTCTGTCGCGGCTTACCGTCCAGTTTAATTTCGCAACGTTGATATCCGCGTGGGAGTTTTATTCCAGCAACATTTTTCCGAGTCTTATATTACGAAGGGAGGGCAGAAGAAAGAAAAGAAGAAGAAGAAGAAGAAGAAGAAGTCTCAAGGAAAAGTCGTCGCGGCGCTTCGTTAATAATCCTCGTCGCGCTCATCGAGCGTCAGTCAAGTTTATTCTTCTCGAACTTGGCCATTAGTCGCAATAATGATAATCTATCTAGTCGCCGCGAGCGACTAACGCGAAATTTACGGCCGAAGGATCAAATTCGCGGGGAAACTTAACGACCGTCGTAATCGCCGATTGTCGACGAGCGACGGTTTCTTATTATCTCGACGAGATTATCACCGGCAGACACGCGTTTATTGAGAACCAGGTATTGTATATCGCGCGAGATATATATTATAAAACGCGGAGAGGTGTCTCTCTCACGGTGTCTCGGTCCTCAATTGTGAAACGAGATCTCTCGGACGCTCTTTGCGAACTTTGTCTCCCTCCCTTCCTCCTCTCTCTCTCTCTCTCTCTCTCTCTCTCTCTTCAGCAATTAATTAATGTATGACCCACTTCCGCGAATTATTGCGATACGTGAGCCCGGTCCGAATCGAACGAGAGAGGGACGAGCGCGAGGCGAACTCTCGTCCGTCCTGCTCGTTTTTCCCCTGGCGGCGGACTGTTAATTAAAGCACATTGTGCCACGGGAAGTGAGCGCGAGCCGAGACTCGCGATTTCGTCGTATCCGACGGGGACAGCCCCCCCCCCCCCCGACTACTCACCTGTCCTTGAGAGAATTCCGATCGATCAGCTTGGCCCTCGGTATCAACTGATGCCTCCTCGGCAGATCGAAGGTCGACTGACCCAGCCGGAAGTGGCGGGCCTCTCGCTCCTGCCGCGACTCGTCCTCCGATATCACCGCGAGGCTCCGCGTGCGCTTCAGCAGCTTCCTGCGATCCTGCGTCGACTGCGCCGACTGCGACTCGTAGCGGCTGCTGGCCTCCCTGCGATTGAGATGGTGCGTGCAACATACGTCGAAAAACATGTTGTTGGGAACGCGCGGATCATTAATAGAAGCGTGCACGCCGCGCAGGTGGCATCGCCACGCGACAAAGAAACTACAAAGAAAGCTACAAAGAAACGCGCGTCGCGCTTAGAGCTGATTAGAGCGGGCTGTATCAGCCAACTCGTGCGCGCTTTCACCCGACTCGCGGATATCATCCTCATGATGATGATGAGAGCAAAGGTAAAGTCGCAGCCACGGCGCGCGATCGCCGATGTATATTATTAACCCTTTCACTAATACACACCGAAAACAACACGCCGTAGCAAGATCTCCTGTAAGATCCGAAGCACGCCGCGGCGCGGCGCGCGGGCTTTGAATCTAAATTTCAAGCAGCTACTTCGAAGCTAAAGGTAATTTCAATTTAAAGCAGTCAATTTAAAAGCTGCCTTTGAGATCAAAAGCCGCTACCGTATTTCAGAAGAAAATCCGGATGGCGATTCTCTCTCTCTCTCTCTCTCTCTCTCTCGTTACGGCGCTCTCGGGGTATAATAATCCTCAAGCTCGAAGGGTGGGAATGGCTAATAAACTCGCTAGAATGTGGTCCTGCGCTGTGAGCCTACGTCATAAAGCGGTGTATAGCTGCGTTAATTGCCGTAAGTGGCCGCGCTGAGACGCAGTCTCGTTCGTTAACGCGTGGATATATCGATCGCGTGTTCGTCCGTTGCCGCGATCTCACGCGCGACTCGACGCGATGGAAAATTACTCGAAAGAAAGGCGAGGCGCGACGAAATCGCGCACAAACGCGGAAAAACTCGGGTGCGACGCGAGAGTCTGGAGGAAAGCGCACAATGGCACAATGGTGGGCGACGAGACGCTCTTGGAGTTTCTCCCTCGACGAGCCGAATGAACTTGCTCGTCTTATAAAGAAGTGTGTTGTGTCAGATGCCGCGTCGCTCACGCGAGCGACGCGGCATCGAGTTCTTAAAACGAGATTTACCACGAGACGGCCAGCTTTATCCCGCACTTAGAACGAAATTATTGCGTTTTTATCGCGGGGCACCCCCCTCCCCGAGTGCCTCCGCTCGCGCCGATAACCGTCGTTATCATTTTCCTCGCGCGGGGGCCACCGTGATTTACGCGCGCGCCGGATACGCTCGTGATAGTCGTTAATTGTAATCTTGTAATTACATCATTGACGACGCGATACGTACTTGCGCGGCGTGTCCCTCCCCCATTTCGCGTTTTCTCGCTCGATGAAAGAGGGAAAAGGGATTGTTTGCGATCAGCCTCAGTTGAAAGTCCGTGTGAGACCGCATTTATTTTTCCACATTGCCTCGCGGACCCTTAACAGGTAGAATGAAAAGCCCCGCGAGTGTGCGTCGCGCACGTAAGTCAGCGTTTTTAGCGCTCTCGAGCTCACGGAATTAAATCGCTCGCTTCGCTCTGATTTACAATTCCTATTCCGCGAGTTTTTCGTCGGAAAAACCTCACGGTCGTTTGCATGCGGAGGCGAGGCCGCGTTATCGTGTCGCGTGCGTTTCTTGTCCGACAGTTTATATATTTATGGTACTCCCAGTTTGCGGCCCGATCGGTCGAATCGTGAAAATAATGTTGGGTGTGCAAATTAATTAAAGGCATTGATTACTTGATCGACTCAAAACCATTCTGTTTCTACGGATATGGAATTCGGCAACTGCCCGAAAGATGACGTAAAGACGCTCGAAATTTTGTGGTTTCTTCTCTGTTGTGTTAATTGAAGATTGAACGACACGCTTCGCCGTAAGTAAATTTTGACTTTCCCGAAAGAAAAAGAACACCGAATTAATATGCATATCTAATGTGGAAAAGAATATTCCCGAGAAAAAGTTATCTATCATGTCATCAAAAAAGAAAGAAAAAGAACGAGCAAAAGCAATTGACGAGAGGAAAGAAAACAAATTTAGTATTGCCGGCAAATTGCATTTTCTGTTGACTAGTTATGCAAAGCTTGTTCGATACAAAGACGAGCGAATCGTTACGCCTAATTTGCTTACCTAACGCTGACTGCTGGGGTATATTCACAAAAAGGATGTTACTTATGTTACGTAATCAGCGGAATATCCTTTCGATCGATAGCGACGGTAAAGACTCACTTGTCGTTTCGACTTATTGCGCGCTGCTGCAACTCGCGTGAATACCAAAAAAATACCGGAGGTTGCAACTGACGTGTAATTACCTCGTTACTTTGATCCACTGTGTGCACGCGTCGACAAGCTACTTAATTGACGCTCACAAAGAATGGAGAGAGAGAGAGAGAGAGAGAGAGAGAGAGAGAGAGAGAGAGAGAGAGAGAGAGAGAGAAAGACAAGGGAGGAGGACGCACCGGCAAAATGCAGGAATTCGCGAATATCGCGTGCAAAGATTTTCAGGCGGAAGCTAGTCGACGCGAAGCGACGTGACACAAAGAACGGGGCTGAAATCGAAACGAGCACACGCGTCTATTTTTCTTTCGCTCCCTCGTTAAATTGCAAATTTCGGCCGGATGCGAATAAATTCGATGGATGATTTATCGGGTGCCAGCGCGGCGCGCGAATATCGCACGCGCCTCATCTTTTTCCGCTCCAACAGCCGCGAGCGCAGTGAAAACGGACGTGTCCTTTCGGCCGACTGGCCGTCTTAACGAACATGAATCCTTGAAGGCGAAACGCAAACGGCGTATCGTCGTCTCATTGTGTTCACCTGTGAGCACGACGGCTGGTTACGTAAGGTTATCACGAGTTATCTCGGCTCGAAAACTCCACACGCTCGTTTTCGACGCGTGTGCGTGAGCACGACGGCGCGTTCTCAGGCGGCCTGTTTCAGTTTCCTCTCGACGGAAACAACAGCTTGCGCCGCCGCCGCTTCTTCCAAAGTCCGGCCCTTTTTTCATTAATAACTTCGCCGCGCGGGCGCGCTTCGACGAGACGCTTCGTCAGGATGGAATTTCCTAACAGCACGGGATTCCTCTTAACAATTCAACAGTAAGACGGATCGGCTGTAAGATCTCCGTGACATTTATGATTAATGACCGCCTTGACGCGCAGCGATTTAATCATGCGCTCTGAAAGCGGCCGCGTGTTTCCCTCGTTTCGCACATTTTTATGATCCTTCAACGGAGGATGATCGATAGGGACGATCGACGCGCGCGACAGCGCACGCTCGGCCAACGAGCTTGTCATTTAGTTGTACCAGCCTAATTATTCGCGATCTCTCGCGAGCGCTCGCAGAGCCGAGACCGCGCCGGTCGCGAAAAAGCGACGGGAGGAACTCCGGCTGACCCGATTTCAATCGTCGGGCAATTCATATTCAACTGTACTGACCTGAATTTTTCTCTCTCCTCTCTGTCTATTTTTATACAAAGCGCGGAAACGAGAAAGCTCCAGCTGAGCAATCAAATTATCGAGCGTCATTCAATATTCACGAATCATTCAAGCACAGCTCAATACAGCTCGAGCAGAAACGAATTTTTTGAAGATTGCCAACTTTTAGGAAGTTCCGTCCATTATCGAGATCGTGAAGTTACTTGCGATACGGAAGAAACACGCGCGACGACTTGATGCCTGAAGAGCTCAAGAGCAGCCTTGGCCTTTATCTCTGGTTATGAATATAAATGATCTTCATCTGCATGTTAAACTGAGGAAAATGTTATTTTTACAAAATTATCAAATATGACGTTCACAGACAATTTAGTCTACATTGAAATGCTCGTTTTTACGACTGCGTCAGGATTAATTGTCCTGTAAACAGGACAAAGCGCAACAAAAAAAGAGTTGTTCCATCGTTATTTCATCGTATCCATTTATCCATTCTGTAACCATTTAAGCGCAATACAGCTCAAGAATAAACCTCTTCCACCGCGTTAGATCGTCGAAAAAATCGAGAAAAGAAGCAAACAGCCCAAGTACTTTGACCGATACTCGCTTTGCCGGGGCGAACTAAATTTGTCTTTGACGCAGGGCCTCAAGGGCGAAACAATATCCCGCATGTACGATGCGCTCGCTTTGTCGAAGTTTCGGGACGGTATGTATATTCCTGGCGTGTGAAGTATATCGGAGAAGATGAAGAATCGAAACCGTCTCTCGTGTCGCGTGCGGTTCGACATCGACACCTTACATCTCGATGCGTCTTCGTTGGTATCGCGCTGCGCTTGTCCCTCCTCTTTAACCCCGACCGTGTCGCAGTGCGGCGCAGCGGCGGTAGAATGAAAAATCAACCCCGATTTCCGCTTGATAAACGGACACCGATGGTGCGATATACCTTCTCATTCATTCAGGCACGCCGCACAAAGAGCAATGTGCCTTGTGCGGCGCGAGTGAGACGCGACAGGAATATCCTAAGCGCGCGGACCGGAAGAAGTTCCGCAACGTGAACAGTCGATGGCTAACATCCGACGAACGACGACGACGATGTCGGTTGTCTCCTAGGAAACTTCACGGGTCGATACGCATGATCCTTGCTCGTAAACAGCGGCATTTGAGCGAAATGAATTAGTTAAATCTTTAAGAGACTTACGTCGCTTTTCTCCCTCTCTCTTTCTCCGTCTCATTCTCTCTGTCTCTCCTCAGTCTTTTTCCGGTGTAAGAGAATTCAGTAAAATCCGAGAGATTACACATGACTTACAATACGGCATTGATTTTGCAATTTCCGTAAATTATTCCGTGCCGCGAGTGAGAGGGAGAGAGAGAGAGAGAGAGAGAGAGAGAGAGAGAGAGAGAGAGAGAGAGAGAGAGAGAGCATTAGTATCAACACGCTAGATGAAATTGAGTGCACGCTAGAAGATTGAGACACATAATGGCTCGTTGACTGTCGCAGTCGGGCGAAAATAAAATCGCTGTCTCTTCTTGGCACGGTTGTAGGCGCGCAGCGCGTCTTCTCTTTTTTATTATTTGTTGAGCTGCCAGCTTCACACTGGGAGCTCGCTTTAAAATGGAAATATTCCCTCGCTTCAGCGTCGTTGCCTCTAGATTGCGAACTTTTTGAAAAGCCAGCGAAAGCGGAAGAGACGGCAACTGATTACACCGTAGGTGAAGAAGAAATAAATCTAAATTGCCAAGGTGTTCGCGAAAGAAAGCAGCACTCGCTCGCGCGAAAATTCTTCTTGCTCGTCCTTGCTCGAAGTATAAGGAACAACGCAACCTCGATCCTCAACGACTCGTATCTTTCGAGCCTCGCTGGTGAAAAAACGATTACGCAACTTTGCGCGTCCCGAATGCAGGCAACGAGCCCGCCAGCATGACTAATAACTCCCCGCCTAATTCATTACGATAAAGAGCGAAGTTAGGTAAGCTGACCTAATTAAAACCGACAGACGCGCGCGCGCGATGCGGGGTCTTCTCTTTCCGTTAATGACCCGCTGGCTTCCGCGGAACGGAAACGACGTCGGGATATAACCGCGCGATCACCGTGATATCCGATTAAAAATGAACGAGTTACCGTTGGAAAATTCGAGTAAGAAACATCGAGTTTG